TGTGTAGATATATATCCCTTTGCTTCGATAAATATTTTAACAGATTCGTGCAGGTTTTTTTGCCGAATTTCGTTTTGAATACAAATTCATTCCTTTCAGTGCTCCTTCAGTAGTTTTTTATAGGCTCAAGTTGTTGTAACTTTGTCAGGTTTGCCCTTTTTAACAGTTCATCTGCTGGTGAATAAATCTTTTCACCCGATTGAAGAGGTTAAGATGAAAGGTGTGTAATGTCAGAGAGTGCAGCGACATAATTATTGATCTTTTGAGTCTTAATCGCTGGATGGGAAGTCGTCTACAGAAGCGACAAGCAAATTAATGAAACAAGCTACCAAGCTACGCCCGCCTCAATATCCTATTTGCTTACAGCTCAGAAGCCTCCTAACTATTACTTATGATCTAGCCGAGTATTTTGCTTTCCAAGTCGGTGGTAAGTAAAGCAGCTGTTTGAGAAGCTATCGCAGTTCATCCTAACACTTATAGGGTTCGACATCCAATTGGTTGGTTAAGGTTTTCTAAACCAATCGCAAAAAGGATAGAAAGTACTGCTTCGAGGCTCAAAATCACCAGAACTTCCGTGGTATATACACATCTTAAACTTTAAAGCTAACTCGCCTAGAGAGGAAAAAAAGTAATTCGAATTTTTGAACACAAGGAGCCAAAGCAGAGAAAAGAAAATACACAGCAGCAGGTATGTTCGAGAAATGGTTATAGTTAATAAGAAAATAAAAACGTACTTATATTATTTAATTTATACTGAATGTACCTTTCACAGACATTGCCTGCCTTTCCCTGATCATTCGAGCGCAAATCAATGATATGGTATTTAAACGAAGATATATAATGCAACTTGACTTAAAAAGTAATATCTCTCTCAACTAGTATCTTCCCATCGCCCGTCTATATTCTGAAATTCAGTAAATAAGAAAAACGATATCGGTTCCTTAATATTCGCTCACATTTCTTGATAACTGAACAATAGACTAAACCCTGAATTATTTTTAACATTGAGTTAGAACATCAATTTCACCAGTATTACCTAATAAAGCACGGTGGTCAATTTTTATTGTATCACCGAGTTTCAACAATTTGAAGAAGCGTAATCATGTTTATTCTATTTGAATAGAGGGCCGTAAAATTTTGCATTTTTATAGCGACAGTGACACTACGGTGCCACTTCAGTAGCTTGTTTCTAAATTAGCTTAAGGAGAACGTTAGGCACCTGTTTACTTTGTTGCATGGCGAGATAAATAAATGAATATTCTGGAAACATATTCTTTTGTTTCTTCGGTTTGTTACACTGTCTGCAATGAGGTGATAGGAAAAGAAAATTTCGTCAGATTCCCTCCGTAATTAGCGCACAGAGATAATGTTTGTTTCGAAACTTTTCAAGACTCTTCTAAAGGAGCTTAGTGATAGTAAACATCTCAATTTCAAAAATTCTGAATTTCTTATTTCCGTCTCTGCCTGAGAGACTATTGGAATTGCAGTGCCATCTTTTAAATTATATCCGAATTTTTGGATCACTGACTGAACCTAGAGCGCGTAATCTTTTTTAAAATAGTGCATGGCCACGAAATGTACCAGAGGATCTACAAACACAGAAAAATACTCACAAGTCTTTCCGGACTGGAGAGACCAAAACAGAATTATTCCTTACAATATCGAAGGATTTGATTTTATACATAATTCTTACAGCTGAAATTTTGAGAAATATAGCTGGGAGAACTGTTATTTAGATTTTAGAAGCGGAGGAGGCTGCTCTGTTACTAAGAGAATTATATTCTTTTGCCGTTACTTAACTGAAAATTGCGCTTATGAAAAAACATTTTGGAATTGAATTCATCTTGACTAAAGCGAAGAAAACTTCGGAAATAAAAAAAAAATTATCAAAATGACGATTTTTGAGATCGAGAGGCCAAGTACTAAAATCGGCAGTGAAGTGCATGAAAGGTTTACTAGCGGCCAGTCCTAAACGATCAAATTTGGAACGCCATGCATCAACGAGAAACTGGAAGTATGTCCCAAGCTAGTTGAGCAACCTACGCCGGAACATTATAAAAGTTATAGGATTTTACAAACCCCTTGTAAAAAATTCCACGGCGAAATGCAAATGAGTTCCCGGGAGGGTCCTGAACGAAATTATGAAAATGACAACGTCAGCCTAACTACCCCACTGACACAAATTTTAAAACTTTGTATATGTTGCATCTTCTTTAAATCCTAGCCTTACCTGGGTCTTGATTTTAGTGTAGTTTTCAAATATTTCAATAAATACAATGAGAGGTAAGTCTTAGGTCTCTGCGAGCCTCGGGTAATTAGTCCCATAATAGAGACAATAACTTGTGTTATTAACAGAGAAAAATTATATTAAATACTTTTGTTGGTTAGTTTATTACATATCGATCCCAAACTTCAATGCAAAGTTAAAGGTTAATAGAGTTCTATTTTTGAAGCAAAGGCGAAGACTCCTTTCTAGCTGGTCATTTTTTATTAATGCTTTTGCATTTACTTTAATTTTTACCTACACATCAGCATATGATGCAAAAAAGGATTAATAATGGTGCTCTGTCACTTCACTTTGCGATGATGAATTAGCGTTAATCACACCACTTGCCACTCACTGAAGCGTGTCTGTGAGCGCAAAATTCAACCAAGTATATCACTAGTGAGTTGCATTTTATCACCATAGCCGCACTGAATCCTGTTTAGATGGTTTTTCTTTGCGAATATCTTGAGAGTATTTATCAAGGGAGAGTGATCTCGGTTTCTCACAGTTTTATATATGTAATTTGTTATTTTTTTGAAAATAAATTATTCTGGCGGGAAAACTCGTTCATGCAGAAAAAATAGATCGAGACCTTCACCGAGTGTGATAAAGAGTCGTAAAAAAAAAGTGTACTTCAGTTGATTAATTCGACTTCCCTACAAACACACTGCTCTTACAGTGAACAAGAGGTCATCAAGGCTGTTGCTGTGCTGGTAAGTACGTCTTGAAATTTCGTGGGAGACGTACAATAATATTATTGATAGCTATAAAAAAAATCCTTGCCGTCAGTGTGTCAGACCGTTGCAGTTGAGAGCTGTTTATCGGTGGAGGTCCGCCTGCATGTATATTTAGAACCCTCTACAGGAAACGAGACGATATAAACCAAAAACTGAAAACTACATGTTATCATTACCCTGTCGCGTAGTGTGGCGCATTTTACCGTGTACAAAATGAAGATTTTGGCAGGCTGAATTACATTTTAGCCCGCTCTTACGCTTGCGTTATTGTTGAGACTGAATTTTTCGGGTTTTTTTTTTCAGTTCATAATTTCTCAATGCCCCCCGGAGTTGTAATAATAGTAATACAGTTTACGTTCTAACACAGAAAACCGAAGGCCCTCTGATTTCGTAAAACCATGGTTTGGCTGAGACCTCGTGTTAATTACCGGCCCTATTGGTGATGAATTAAAAGACGCACAGAGTGCATTGCTGAGTTATATAAGCACGCGGGAATTTTTAAGAACACGAGAGAAGTGCTTCTCGCACTTGTCGCGTGTTCTTAAGAATTCCCAAGTGTTCATATAGCTCAACAATGCTCGAGGAACAAGTTTTTTTTTTACTTCTTTCATAAAATGTATTGTCAATTGCGCGCCCTCGTACCAATGTAGGCTGCGTGCATTATATCTCAACATTGCACTCGCGTGACGTAAGGCGCGTGCTTCATTATAAACATAAGGAACTCGTTCTTACCAATCACGGCGCGCGCATTTCTCTGAACATTTTATGATGTATTATAAGATATTTTGCTACGTACAGTCAGCATGATTCTTCTCGCGTGTCATGAGTCGTACGCACGTCGTATCGTGGCTAAGTTGTTACATGTCGCGGGTGAATAATTTATGTAACAAATTATGTAAATAACAATGCGATCTTCCCTTGTCTTGCTTAGAGCGGTTAAGCAAAGCGTAACATACTCGGGAAAGGTGGCAGCTAGGTAGCCCTATAGAAGCTAAAAAATAAAAACATAATAATAATTCTGATATCAGATAGAAACTGGCTGTTAAGGAAGGTTTTGACTGTTCGACAAGCCCTATAATCCAGCCTTTAAAAACCTGTAGAAGGATGCGACTGTTCTATAGACAGATAACCGTTAAACAAAAAGTTTCAGTAATTTTTTCCACAACCAGATTCCGATGGTGTAAATAAAATGAAATGAAATAAAGAAAGCAATAGAGTTATGTTATCAGGTATGAATTATCTTTTGGGCGCGTCACACAGTCATTTCAGCCCGAGCCGCTGAGCGAGAGTTAAACATATTTCTGCCGAATGACTTAACACTAAGTTACCATTACTGTTATAATTGTTATCACTTTGGAGAGCACTGAGTGTGAACAATCACGTAAACAAGCGAGATATCTGTAATACATTTTAGCCCGCCAAAAAACTTTAGTCCAAAAAATGCGCAGCTGTGCCCGGAATAGGCATTATAGGCGTTTAACGCGAAACTCACGCAACAGAACCTGCTACCAGGCTTAGCAGACGACAGTTGACCGTCGGTAACCGGTTTTTATTGAACTCAGCGCATATGTCAAAACGCTTGTTCCTAACTGTTCCTTTCTCCAAAATGTTTGAGTGGATAGTCTAGTTACTCTTTTGATCATCCATTAATTTTTTTTTTTGATGGGAAAATCAAAGTAGACAAATGACGCGCTGATATACATCGAATGACGGTCGCAAAATTTTCACACGTACTTCCTTGATCAGTAAATTAAAGTAAAAATGTCATTAAACACCTTCAGGCTTCTTCACTTTTCACGTTTCTTAACGGTATGTTACGCGAAAATGCTAATCTTAACTGACGGCTCAACCAGTAAATCAACTCTTATCGCTTTTTCGTTTTACAGCTACGCGTCCATCTCTAACAGATAGGCTTCAGCGTAACGTATCAACCCTGAATTCTAAGTGACGTGAACAGAACAGTCAGAGGTGAGCACCAAACGAGGTACAAACCACACATGGAATACGTAAAGCTGGAAGCGGAACCGGAAGAAAGAACTTCAATCTGTGGTAGACTAACGTTTGGCTTTTTATCGAGTATTATCGAAACAGGAAACAAACGACCTCTAGAGGAGAACGACATTCCTTCCCTAGATGTTGAAAGCACCAAGTATTTGACTGAAAAACTGGAATTAGAATGGAAAAACGAAGTTGAAATCGGGAGAGTCCGAAGTTCTAAACCTCGTTTGAGAAACGCAGTCCTAAGGGCCGTCGACAAATACTTACTGTCTCTGATTGTACTACTAGCAATTTTAGAGACATTATTTACAATGATTCAGCCTGTCCTACTAAGCTTTCTCCTGGCTGAGATGTCCTATAATTCCCCCGTTGATGTGGGGATGCTGCTTGTTTATTCAACACCGCTCTGTGTAAGTTGTTTTATTCAAGCGTTGGTTTCCCATCAAGGTAGTTATGCCATGTTTCTGATGGCAGTTCACGTTAAAGCCTCCTTCATTGGCATAGTTTACAAGAAGGTAGGTGGATGATGAGTTTTTGCCGCTTAAATGTCAAAATAAGTTAAGCTTAACCAGCAAAGAAACTGTGAATAGATGTCGCATCTGTCTTCTGATAAGCGAATATGTATTAGGCTAAAACCTAAAAAATTTTACCCATTTTACAATTAACAGCTATTTTCTTTCCATTACCATTACAAGACAGATTTTTACTGATAACTCTTTTGCAAACTTTTATTTCTCACGCCCATGGGAAACACTCCTTACTGAAGGTGGATAGTATGTGTGATACGCTAAGAATTTTTCAGTATGCATAGGCTTCTTGTATAAGCCGATGGTTAGACATCAGCCAAATTCTCTTGAGACTGCAGTGTCGAAGGAGGCGAAAACGTGGTGTTTCCAGATTTCAGACTTGTGGGATCATGCGGATAAAGTTATTACTTGCTCTGAGAACTCTCCATGTTTAGGTTCGCAATAACAGAGGAAACCGGACCGTAGTCGAGACATCGCGATCCACATCGAAAACGATTACACTATGAGACAAACGATTAAAATGTCTTTTACAAATGTCAAGATTATCATCAATTTTATCTTGTTGCAACTGAACAACTTTTATCCACATTTCTTTTTTGCGGGTTTGATAATACACAAAATTCAAAGTTGAACTTCACCTTATCATTAATTATCTTGTGCCTTTTCCTTTTCTTGCAGATTCTGAACACGCGCCATCATATTCTTGCCGAAAGAACTTCAGGGTATTTGATAAACTTGATCTCTAAGGACATGGTCCCGATCCATCAAGTTTTCTCTAACTTTAGATCGCTTTCTGCTCCTCTGGAGATACTTCTCGTTTTCTCTCTTTTGTGGAACTTAGTAGGCTGGCAAACATTTGGAGGTGTGGTCTTTTCAATAGCTCTCATCTTCTTTCAAACGACTCTGGGAAACGTTTTCAAAAGTCTTCAGGACAAGGTCGCCAGGATAACGGACAAGAGACTGCGTCTGATACATGACGTCATTTCCGGTATACGTGTACTAAAAATTAATGCTTGGGAATGGTGCTTTCATGATTTGGTTTCCGAAGTTAGGAGGTATGAGTTTCCTTGCGAAAAAAAGTTCATGCTCTATATATGCTGATAACATCCTGTTTGAAAAAAAAGAAAATTGTAATCACTCGTCATCAGAGCTGGGAAAACAGCTTAAGATATAAACACCATATAAATTCATTTTACATCTTTATATTCTCAGGTTTGCTAACCGTGACATGAAATTTCTGTGGTATTAGTTTTTGCTGCTTTTAAGTACAGTCCTCCATTCGCAAAACTGAAATCCCGAAAATTAAAGAAAAAATCAGTCATCAAAACATCGTAGTCCAATATATGCAATATACTTGCAACTTAAGCGTCAGTTCGTGTTTTTTTCTTTAAGACTCACCCAATGTATCTATTAACAATTCTAACAAATTAACTCGGCAAGGTGGATAACTTTAAATACTGCGCCACTAACTTGATTAAAACATTGTCCTTAACCTTTTTCTCGGTTTTTTTCCAAAGACTTTCCTCTTCGTCAATTGTCAATTTTTTGGACGCCATTCTAGCCTCAGGCATCATTCACTGATGTTAACTCTCCTTAAAGAACTCCCTGAGTCTCTATGGAATCGTAGAAACTTGACTTTAAAGCAAAGCATCAATTACAAAATTTGAAAGTAATGTTATGAGCGAGATTTCTCATCGTACGTCTCTACAAAAATTAGGCTAACATCAAAGAAATATGAGACAAACTGGCCTAGCAGACTGTTATTGGGAAGTACTTGTCTCTCGTCTAGTGAATCCATCTAAATCGCACCACCTGTCTAACACTATTCTGATCAAATGCCTAAGTTCCAAAAATCTTGATCTTCTGATATTTACCTCTAGAATGGAAAGGCGCACCACACGGGTAGGGAACCCTTTCGCATTCCCGCTTAAAGGGCGAAGCCGCCTGCTAACTCCAACTTGGGAATAACTACCTGACTTGCCTGTGAATGTTCTAACCATTATCATCATATTCTATTCCTCTCAGATTAGAGCTCAACATTGTGTACAAGAAAGGAGTTATTTTAGCTGGTTACCTCTCGGCGTATTCCTGTTACCCAATAGTGTCCAGTTTTGTCGCTTTGTTTCCGTTTCTCATGGCTGGGAATCAACTTACAGCTCAAAATGTCTTCACTACTTTGGCTCTGCTGGGTGCGCTCCAAAAACCAGTCACTGTTCTGTTTTCGTATGAGCTTCGCGCTCTTTTTCAAGCATTTACAACACTTGAACGAGTAGAGTCGTTTCTTCTTGATGATGATTGCGATGCACCGTTGTCTTCCACTCAAAAATGGAATCCATTTCAATCAAAGGACCCAACTGGTACAAGCGAAACACAATTAAACGAATATCAGTTTTCAGCGGTGGAACCAACTTTTCTGACGAATCATGTTTGTAATAAAGGCAAGCCTTTCCTTTGTTTAAACAGAGTTAAAGCCCATCCAAAGAGTGACTTTTTCAATTTAAGTCTATGCATTTCCAATTCTAAGTTGATTGGAATCACAGGCCCGGTGGGTTGCGGAAAATCGACTCTTTTTGATCTTATCCTTGGCGAAATACCATCAGATTATGGTCAAATTACTCATCAGGGACAAATTGCTTACGTTTGCCAAACACCTTGGGTGTTTTCGGGAACAATCCGCGAAAACATCATTTTTGGAAAGGAGTTCATCCAAGATACTTTTGAAAAAGCTATCGAGGCTTGTTCGCTGAAGGAAGATATGAAGTCTCTTTCCTGTGGTGATCTGACTTATGTCGGGGAACGCGGGGTAAGTTTGAGTGGCGGTCAGCGTGCACGGCTAAACTTGGCACGTGCAGTGTATTCTGATGCCGACATTTATCTTTTGGATGATCCGCTTAGCTCTGTTGACGCAAAAGTGTCGAATGAAATCTTTCAGAGGTGTATTTGTGGCACTTTGTCCGATCGGATCCGACTGTTAATTACCCATCAAGCTCGTTTTCTTGGAAAGACAGATCTGGTTCTTTTGATGGACAAGGAAAGCAAGTTGACTAAAGGTATTTATAGAGAGCTTAGTCAATTGGAGGAATTCTGTGAAATTTCTGCAACAGTACCCTTTGCTAAAGCAAACGAAAGAGGCCTTTCTAGTAATCTGGTGCCACACGGAGCTCCGATGACAAAGACTGGTAACTCCTCTCGTTTGGAAATCGAAGAAGAAGATCGCCTGACTGGTTCCGTTTCTTATAAAACTTACTGGAGGTACCTTGCATACGGAGTGTCAAAGTTCTTCATAATGATCTGGGGAGCTTTAGTAGTTTTACCTGAAGGTTAGTGAAATATAATCATTGCAGAAAACACTTGGCACATTTACATATAAGACCTAATCTAGAAAGCAAATCCCGCCATCTAAGCTATCTAACCAGGAGGGATGCTGGTTTAGGGAAAATTCAAGACAGTTATGCAAAACCAAGAGGCAGGAAAGGGTTGGGATAACTTTTGAAAATTAGATGGAGCTAAGAAATGACGAGAATATCTTTTGTTACCGTTACAAATTATTCTCCATGAAAACTGCGGGAAACTAACTCGACAGACCCCTGCCCAGCACAGTAGCCTAACCTTGCACAATCAGCCTCCACAAAAATGCAACTATGCTAACTTTTGCGCGGTGGCAAAAATTCAAGGATTTGTATGGGAATAAATGGTCGCACTCCCAATCAAAAATTCTGAAGTATTTTTGGATTAAAAACAAACTTACCCTGCTTAAGTGGTTGTTCTTTTTTATCTTGTAAGATGTCTTAGCTTAGTTCGGGCCTTTTAATCAGCTCGGTTTTAGTCGTATTTCGCCCATTGCGCAATGTAAACATATTTGCATATTAACGGAGGCTCAATGTGCGAGTTTGGTCTACCTGTGGTAGTAACTAACATTTTCTTAATCAGTGGAGGCCTCCTGAGATTCGAGTTTCCTCACAGTGATAAATTCTAACTCATGCTTTTGATCCATGCTCCTGTTTGGCGTTTCCTTGTTTCTTCAGTTGATGTCGTCTTCACTTTTACACGTTATTGTGATGTCTTCTAGTCAATTCCATAAACAGATGGTCAACATTGAAGTCGCCTTAAAATTGTTTGTCCTATCCCTCTTAGGTGCAAACAATAACTTCAAAGAAATATCCACCAATTTTGGTCAATTTGTTTAAAATCATCATTAATCGATCAAGCCTGCTCTTTAACAACATTTAGAATACCTCATGGAAAGTCTGCACGTATGGTATGGTCGTATTTACGCACGAGAAGGTGGTATCGGAAATCGAATGAGTGGGCGCAGCGAACGAGTGAGATTTCTGAAACATATGGTGATTTTGTTGAATGTTTGAATAGGTAGTCAGAAGAAGGTTCTGTTTGTTATGGGCTGCTCTGCCGTTGAATAACAATTATTTTGTGTGTGTGCTGAAGTGGTTATAAATTAATTTACCTACCAAAAGAAACTCAAGGGCTCGAAACTGTCCATTTCCTTGTTGACAGGAGCTGTTTTAGCTTCCAGCTTTTGGCTTGCATATTGGACAAAGCAATCGTGGGAAGATCAGCAGAAAGCTGACAACGCTTATGTCTATATCTGTCTAGCGAGTGGCTGCTTCATCTTCGCTTTAACCCGCTCCTTTCTTTCCTTCTACGGAATGATCAAGAGTTCTTCCCGCCTGCATGCCGCCATGCTGACTTCATTGTTGAAAACTCCCGTTTCTTTCTTTGATGTGAATCCAGCTGGTCGTATCTTAAATCGCTTCGCTAAGGACGTTGGGTGTATGGATGAAGTGTTGCCTTATATCCTTTCAGAGTCTGTTCAATACGTTATGTTCACCATTAGTATTTTGGTTTTGATATCTGTTGCTAACATGTGGATCATTGGAGCAAGTGTGCCTTTCACAGTCCTTTCGCTGTATGTTAGTAAACGCTATATAATCACAGCACGTGAGATCAAAAGAATCGAAGCCATCACGAGCAGTCCAGTCTGCTCACACGTGACAGATACAATTCAAGGCATCACGACGGTTCGTGTGTACAAAAGACAAGGAGTATTCCTGGATCGTTTTTACAGGTAACTCAAAGCTTTATAGTAAGATCGTCATTAAATTAACTTAGAAGGGTTGGGGGGGGAGTGGTCGGTGCATGGTGATACAGATTTCTTTTAAACCTTTTGACGGAGATTTTCGTTTAATTTAATATCATCAAAGGAAATGCTTGAATACAAAATTTCTGCGCTGTTTCTACTACCTGAAGGCTGATTTGCAGTTGTCATCTGATCTTTAAAATCATTACTTTCTATTTTCAAAGCAAATTTTAACTTTCGAAGCAAACAATACTGTCGTCAGTATGTTTTACACTCATAATATGGTCAGCCGTCACCACCAAAAATATAAGGATGTCAAATAGATCAGCAAATACAAAGATGGTGTAAAGATCAGCTGTAGTATAGCATAGCTAATAAAGGAATGGCATGGCCAAATTATAGACAGTCTAGTTTTCCTTCGTGAAACAGAACACCCTAAACATGAATAGTTTAGCCAAATGAGAAACGGTCTAGTAGCCCATGTTGAGTTGGATCATGAGATTGTGAAATGGACTAGCTTAATTACGAATAGCTTAGCACTCATTTGCAATACAGTACTCAAACGGTGTAGCGTTGAGTTAAACGGCTCAGGGTAACGTCGAGTAGCACAGCGTACGCACAAACGATGTAGCGTTGCGTCAAATGGCTCAGCGTAATTTAGAATGGTACAGCGTACACACATATGGTGTAGCGCTGCGGGAAATGGCTCAGCGTAATGTCTAATGGTACAGCGTACATAAAAACAGTGTAGCGTTGTGTGAAATGGCTCAGCGTAATGTCGAATGGTACAGCGTACATACAAACAGTGTGGCGTTGCGTGAAATGGCTTAGAGTAATGTCGAATGGTACAGCGTACATACAAACAGTGTAGCGTTGCGTGAAGTGGCTTAGCATAATGTCGAATGGCACAGCGTACACACAAATGGTGTAGCGTTGCGTGAAATGGCTCAGCGTAATGTAGAATGGTACAGCGTAGACACAAATAGTGTAGCGTTAGGTCGAATAGCTTTGCAAAACATCAGACGCTCTATCTGAACATTAAATTACTTAGTATTAACTGAAATATTTCGATGTTGTGGCGAATCGTCGTGGCGTGACGTGAAGGCTATGCCATTCCTTTATTAGCTATGCTATCCTGCAGCTGATCCTTAAGCCATCTTTGTATTTGCTGATCTATACGACATTCTTGTATTTTTGGTGGTGACGGCCGCCAAGGCATCTCGCCGAAACCACCAAAAATACAAACCGCAAATGGAACAGCAATCTGCTGGGGGTATGACGTCATCGAATGTGAAGACTGACACGAAACCATTACATGGCGTAGTATAGTCTTCACTTCGCTTTGCCGTAAAGCAGAGCCAATTTGGTAAGTTTCTCCTCTTTTTCACTGCTGATATTGCACTTATTCGTTGTCGTTCATGAAAGCGTCAATTAAAATAGCAACGAGACTGAATTCTACCACGATTTGTCGGCCTCCCGGTTTACCACAGTTTGCACGCGTTGGTGGGCCTGAACATGTTTATAGTATTAAGTAGTGTTATGACGTGCATTAAATGTCAATTGTCGAGCTCTCTTTTCCTTCTCCGACTCACGCTTACTTTTGAATGAGAGTCCAACTTCAACGGCTCTTTGAACATTGGAGGAGTACGTGAGAAGTTGAATATTGTGTGTGCCCTGGACGCCATGATAAGAAAACTGCTATCCTTGATCTGTTTTGACATTTTTCGATCAAAGTGACATCGGAATGCTTTAATTGGTGTGCCGGACGATAAGAGTAAGCTAAGAGAAGTCATATTTATTATTTGAAAGAGGTGTACATTATATTGCTTTGTTTATTAATTTTTTCCTGGGTGCAGTGATAGTAAAAGTAATGCACCGTGCAATTTGTGCTGCTACCTGCAAGTTTTTCTGTATCAATTGAAGCCAAGAGCTCGGTTTTATGTTCGTGATACAGGTCACGCAAGACTTATCGATCAATTAACAAAAATAAGCTAGCGAAGTCCGGGAGATGGTCGGGCATTTTACAAGTTGGCAGATGGCAGGACTGCTTTACCTGACTGAGCTCCGTATTTTATACTCTGATAAAACATGCTTTTTCAACCAATGAGAGCGCAAGTTATATTCGAACGTTATTATAATATGGATTAAGCCACTTTATCTTTGTCATATAATGGTTTTTATATTGTAACAAAGTTTTTTTTTCTTAGTTATCAAGATGCAAACAACAGAGCTTTGTTCTGCTATACTGCTTCGCTCAAGTGGCTTGGTATTCGCCTCGATTCTCTAAGTTCATTCCTGGTTACTGTTGTAACTTTAGCCGGCATTTTTCTTTCTGGTGATACAGGTAAATGACTTATTCTCTTTTCTAACATATGTCGTAGCCATTCTTCGCTTAATCCTCATGACTCAAGGAGAATTCTTAGAAGATCAATATATACAGCGACGAGTGATAAAATAGTGAAACTGTCTTATAAACTAGAAATTCCTTTCAAGCTCTTTTTGATATAAAGACCCCAAAGGGCAAACCACAATATATTCTCAGATTCTTGCAGATCGGCGGCTGATATTTCTTCCGTTCCTCTTCCTCTATTTTCTATCGGTAGGAACTTTTCAATTTTAAGTGATATGAGAACTTCTTCTTTCTGCCAGTATTTTATTCTTCGTTAGAGAAGGATCATCCATCTTGGCCTCAGAGAACTTCACGAATCTATCGGTAGCCATTTATCACTGACCGTTTCTTCAAGCAACTGCTCATTGCATTTAACGTGTGGTGTGTTTGCCAATAATTTAATTTTATTGCATTTTCTCAGCTTTATCAGGCTTATCAATAAGCTACTGTCTGCAGCTCACCAACACAGTTCAGTGGATGCTGCAGGCCATCGGAGAAACGGAGAATTACATGACGTCCGTCGAACGAGTTTTGAGCTACACACAACTTCAACCGGAGCCAGGCTACGACACAATTATCCCGCACGCTCCCAGGGATTGGCCTGAAAATGGTTGCGTCACTTTTCGAAACGTGTCTTTGAGCTATTTCTTAGGGGGTCCTCCTGTCTTGAAAAATATCAGCTTTAGTGCCGCCGCCGGTGAGAAAATAGGTATTGTTGGACGGACTGGCGCTGGAAAGTCGTCGCTTATCGCTTGTTTGTTGCGCATGCCTGCAAACACCGAAGGAGAAATCATAATCGATGGAATTTGTGTTGCTGATCTCAACGTCCAGGATGTTCGCACCGCGATTGCAGTCATTCCTCAGAGTCCTTTCCTCTTCAATGACGTGCTTCGTCGAAGTCTTGATCCAGCTGGCAAATTTACTGATGAAGAGTTATGGGACATTTTGGACAAAGTTAAGCTGAAGTCGACTGTGGTAAATAGAGATGGACAACTTTACTGTCACGTGACAGAAAATGGAGCTAATTTCAGCGTTGGAGAGCGGCAGTTGATCTGCTTCGCTCGCGCTCTTTTGTTCGGTAAAAAAGTTATTGTAATGGACGAGGCAACATCCAGTGTGGATACACAAACGGATGAACTGATACAAAGTATCATTCGTAAAGAAATGAATCACTGTACTGTTTTGACAATTGCACATCGTCTGAGTACTGTATCTGATTATGACCGAATAATGGTACTCAGCGAAGGGAAAATTATCGAAATGGATTCTCCTAAGGTTTTACTGAGCAATGAGCTCAGTTATTTTTACCAGCTATATCACAGTGTGAAGTCCTAAAGTTTTCTCTAAAGTACGATCATGCCAAGTAAGATTTCCGCTTAAAACAAAGGTTAGAAAGCATACAGGTGTGAACTACATGTTGTCAGTAATTATATACCGTTAAAAGGATTTTTTATACCAATCGACTCTCACCGAAAGTTTGTATTGGAGAATTTCTCTTAATTTTTTTCGCAGTAAGATATTTTTTTATTAATCTCAAATCGATAAAGTTTGTTGATCGTCATAAGCATGAAGATAATTACCAAAAAAATCAAAGAATTTGCGTTTTGGTCATTTTGAGTTAAAAACCAAAGTTGGTAGAATACGAAGTTTTTTTTTCTTGTCACATTGTTACACAGCTTCGTCTCAGTTGCCATGGTGATTATAGGCATTTCAGTGTTTAGTGTAATACTCTCATTAGAGAAAACAGTAGTGGATGTCTGTAGACTGCATACACTGACAGTTCATCTGTTTTTACTTTTCCTTAAGTTTACTTGCGCAGTTAAAATTTTTCGTCGGAACTAAATTTCTTGCTCGAACTGTTTTCTTAAGATTCTGCAAACACGATAGCTAATCATTACAAACGATATTCTGGTATTGTGGTGCGATCCACTGGTTACTTTAATTGTCTTGAAAAGAGCGAGCGATTTAAAACTCTATGGGTGTCTTCTTGGTGGTTCTTTAATCTAACTACAAGAAGAGAGATTGTGCATAATGCTTTCTTTCAAAAGAGAAGATAATCGTCAATGACCGTGATGAGCCGCTGTAAATTTACAAGAAAAGTTCAAAGCTTAAGTAAGTAAGAGGGGAAAGAAAGAAATATAACTAGTCTCGACGCATAAACCTCTGGGGATGTTCTGCTGAGAAAACCCTGTGCGTCGTTTTGAATGTAAGTGACAAATATTGTTCCATCTTTCGAAGGACTCGCACTACCCTGGAGACATTTTTTGTCACGTAAATCCAGGTGTAAATTACGAAATTTCGTTAATAAAACGAGTAAAGGGAATTCAGAGAGTTACTGAATCCACAAAAAAACTAACTTTAACCCTGTTTAGCTTTAACCCTGTTTAGACTTCTTGAGAAGCCGTTTAGAAGTCAGATGGATCTCCAATTGCCCTTTTTCATCTCGTTATCAGCTGAAGTTAGCTTTATGTATTATGCACGACTGCAACATTAAAATGCTATTTTTTTGTCAATGTTGTTATTGTTACTCAACATAAAAAAGAAAAATTAGAAATTTAGAACGTTATATGCATATTCTCCCATTTCACATCTACCAGACTTATAATCCATACACAGGAGCTTAGGATCTAGATTATCCTACCCACAATTCAGGTACATGCTATCTTCTTAGCAAGCGTCAGTGTTTAAGAGACCACTTCACCGTCATTAACTTGGGTTTGTTCTCTATAACACTGCGGGTGATATTGTAATTATCGATTAATCAGTGAAAACAATCAGCATTCGAAGTAACCAATTGACGCGTTTAGTTTCCCTTTGCTCAGAAGTTTCTCCTTCAACTACGTATCATGAAGATAACTGAAAGGTGCTGCTTTCTTATTGATTTTCAACTATTGATTCTGGTCTTCGCCAGTCGAACCCGAGGTTTGAAAAGCTACGAGGGGTGAATTGGATAATTTGCTGAGTATTGAAAGTAAGGTTTATCAGTTGATCGCTCCATCAAACAGGCGAAGTTTTGCTTTGCTTTTCATATAGTTTAGAACATGATTCGATGGACTAATCTAAATAGCTTGATCCATGTAATTTCTATTAGAGAAGGCAATTGATACTTAAACGTTTGAAATTCTCAGCCAATGGGTTGCCAGTCAGCAGAACCATGGCAAATCGTTTACTTATAGCTTATGAATCCTCTTGGTACTCACCGTAGATGCTAACTCTAACCAAATGCTCTAACAGAGAAATGAAACAATATTTCCAATTGCATTCATAGGCTTAACACTCATTTCTCTAAGACATAGTGCTACTTAGATAGTATCTGATACGACAGAATCAATTTGAAACAGACGGCTGACCTTAGCCGCGCCTTTGCTAATTCTGATTGTATCTGGCGTATGACATGACAAAAAAAGAAGCCTTAAACAAAGAGAATACATCAAGTGAAGCTCGATATAGGCACGAGTTGCCGGTGGACACCGTGCTTGATGTTTCAGATGTACTCACCGTTCTTTTGCTTCTTGTTTAGGGATAGCTTTGGAATATTATAAATCCTATTTTCGTCACTTTTGTTTCTGATTTTACTCGTTATGAAATTTCATGACCGACGGTGTTTCCTTTTAAGAGTGCGCGCTGTTCTCGTCACCAGTGATACCGATTTTTTATCAGTGATGTATCCATCTTCTTCCTTAGCCACAAGGTCATACGAGTAGTTCCACGGTCAGATGAGGATGTCTTTTCTTTGAGGAATTTGCCGAAAAGTCGGAAGAACGTAAGTTTTGGGAAGTGATATCCTCTTTTTTGTTAGTAAATTATTTCATGTGCTGGCTAAGGTAAGATTTGCAACCTGAAACAATAATAACAATAATTTTTTTTTTTTCGATTCGTGAGCGGGCGGTATTCTACAAATCCTGCAATCTGATTGGTTCCGAGAGCAGACAGAAATCTCCTATCCGGCCTGCTCGAAGTAATTCGAAACGTCGCATTAAATCCCTGTGTCTAGCTAGAAAAAAAAGCGTGTCGTTTGATCTCAGTTTCTACAAACGCCATTTCAGTAAGCAAACAAACAGACTGAATTCACCTACAAGGTAATATAATATTATTAGCTGAGTTGATAACGTAAATTGGCCACCATTAAGAGTTTCAAAGCTGACGTTTCAAGCGTTAGCCCTTCGTCAGAGCGAATGGAGCCCAGGTCGGTCCAAATTGGGAAAAACTGTGCCCTCTGTCTTGAGTACCGCCAGAATCTAAGACCTCGAGCACATTTTTTCCTTATACGGACCTCCCGGCTGGTGAATAAAATATATATGACGTGTAACAATCATGTGGATTCATCGTTTTGTTGCAGAGATCATTTTTAGCAGCTATATTATTTAGTTTGGTCTGAGTGATTGACTGTTGACAAACTAAAAAAAAACCAAACAAAAGAAACTGCCAAAAAATACGAAAGTTAACCTGTGGTGCATGTTGAAGCAATTGCTCAAACTAAGCCTGTAAAAATAAACTGTGAGCTTCATGAAAGTTACACGGTGAGACCAAAAGTACAAGCGTCTTCAGGGTGCCACATTATAGTTTAAGTTTTATTTTCCTAACAAGCAAACATTTTCAACTTTATTCAATATTATTAAGCCCTTAATATAGTCATTCACAATTAAAACTGGATTATAAGATCTTCATGAACAAGAAAATTTATTAGGCTATTAAAAAGGAAGAGTGCTGTTAGATTTCCGAAGCCGAGGACTTAAATGGTACAGGTCAACGAAGCCAGAATGTAGTTGGATTAACGTTGAGTTTAGCATAGGTAGAAGGTTGATTAGTTTGTTTTAAGAATTTGATCGAGGAGAGAGGTGCATATTCACTTAGCTTCAGATTAAGTCGAGGATTTCCTGGCTCGTCTCACTGAACTTTCTCTGTATAAGAACACGATAGCAATCGACGGAAGAGAGATGATCGATGATCAAGATACATGTTGTCACGGAGACAGCGATTTCGACAACTGATATCACACATTGGATGAAGTAAAATGGCAATAAAGAAAAATTAAGAAACTTATATCTCAAAGAATTGTAGTCTTATTCAACACCAAAAAGCAAAAAACCAAAGAACAATAACGAGAAAGTAATTAGTTAAGGAAAAATGGCATGAAATGGCAACTCTATTCCCTATATCGGGAAAGTGGGGCCAATACGTGTAAATGTAATACTTTGCTTCTTCATCCGTCCACAAATCCATTTACTTTTTTCTCAGCGAGTACGGTGACACATCCTACAATCTGATTGACTCTTAGTGCGGTCCAGATCTTCCTATCTCTGCCCACGGGCAACCGTAACGCTTTCCTAGGTTGCCGAGTACATCCCTTCCTCCGTTGCCATTTTTCATAAATATATCCCGTTTCGCTGACTGGTCATATTTTCAAGCAACGAATTTTGAGCAGATCAAGCCGATTAATAACTTTTTAATTCTCTCTCTCTCAAATAACTTTAGTTTCCAGTAAAAAATTGTCTTCGAAATGAAGTTGTTGTAGCAAACCGTGTTTAATTAACTTTAATTCTTCACAAAAAACTATTAAAAATGTTGAATTGCGAAGAATTTGTTTACGATTGAATTAATCGATGCAATTTTATTCATTTAATATCTGAATTCTCTCAAACAAATTTTTCGCTGTAAAAGGGTGAGCCAAATTTTCAGTCCTTTTACAAATACGTTTTCGGTAAGCCTTTGCAAGTCTGTTCAACTTTGTAATTTGTACCGTAAATCGCACAACAAAGAGCGAAAGAATTCAACGGAAAAACAGGTTTCTGTTAAAGGGAACTGAGTTGATCAAATCCATTGCGTTTTGGTATTCCATCGGAGTACCAGATTTTATCTTGAGCGTTATCAGGGTCGGTTGTAGGATTCCCTTTATTTCTACGTCGCCACCTTACCATTACAAGAACAATTCATCCGCCTTGAAAGAACCGGGTTTTGTTACTGAGGCTGTTTCGGAGCTCTTATGTGACAATCGCGTCGAGGAAATATACTTGTCGGAAACATGGAGACGCCCCCACGCGAGAACAATTTCGTTACCTCTGAAACCAGATACTTGTTTTGTTTGTACAGTAATTTGTTGATTGATGGAAACGTGAAATGTAACTGCAATAATCGCATGTACATTACACTTTGATCGGTCCTTTTTTCGAAGCGAAGACTAGGTTGTGTTAGTCGGTTTTTACGATACGAGGTCAATTTTGTTATAGCAGGACGAATTAATTAAACGAATCAATTGACAAATCGATACAAGTTTCGAAGTTTATGACAATACTCTCCTCCGGATATTGTCAATCCGTTGAGTGTTTCCGTTCAAG